CAGCCCTGGCGGCCCCCTCCTCAACGAGCTGCCCAGGCGGCTGGATGGTACCAGGCAAGTGTGCGTGGTGGGCTGGGGTGGGGGGGAACCCTCTTTTGTTACCCAGAGACCACTTTTCCCCCATCAAAGGATGGAGCTGGACGACTTCTGGAGGCAGGTCCAAGAGCTGGAGCAACATCTGGATCAGCTGGCGCAGGCAGATGTGCGGCACCACAGCCGGCTAACTGGGCTGAGCCACGAGCTGGGGGCTCTCAACCGAACCGCCTCCCACCTCCAAGTCCTTCTCGGCACTGTGGCAGCGGCCGGATTCAGCGGTAAGAGCATCCGGCAAGGAGTGGGGGGTTCAGTGGCAACCATCCTGGCTGCACCCTGACACCGGCACCTGCAGAGTCTTACCACAGCATCCTGGCATCGGCGGAGGACTCGCGGCAGGGGGGGGGTGCCACGGCTGGTGAGCTGAGTGAGGTGGGGGCAATGCGGCGGGCGGCCGAGCGAGTGCTGCGGCAGCGGGGCGATGCTTTCCGCCGTGGCACTGCCGCAGCACGGAAATCCTTGCGGGAGGCACAGAAACGGGTGATGGGACTCAGTGTCACCAGGATCAATGAGAAGGTGAGAGTGGGACTGGTGGGGGGCAAATAGGTGCATGGGGGAGATCTCCAGCATGGAGATCTTCCCCCATGCAGTGTTGAACTGCTATCCCCACCACTGGTTTCACTGCAGATTTGTGGGGCACCTGGGGACCGGGGCTGTGAGCAAGCGCCTTGTGGAGGAGCCTTGTGCCGGGACAGCACGGGGACACGTCATTGTGGTGGCACTGGGTGCATGGGGGCACTGCCCGTCTCAGCTCGAGCCCTGAGCAGTGCCCGTAACACCTCACAACAGCTGGAGGTGGCATTGGGTCAGCTGGGCATTGTAGCACAGAAGGTAAGGGTGGTGGCTCTGTGGCACTCTTTGGGGTCCTCTTGTGCCCCTTCCATGTCCTGTTCGTGCCCTTTCCATGCTACTTTGTATGTCCCCTTGTGGGCCCTGCTTGTGCCTTTTCCATAACACTTTGATGTCCACTTCCATGTCCCGCTTATGCCTTTTCCATACCCCCTTGCATGTCCCTTTGTATGTCCCACTTGTGCCCTTTCCATGCCCCCAATCATTTCACAGAATCACAGGATGATAAGGGTAGGAAGGGACCTCTGGAGATCATGTAGTATTCCCCTCTGTATATCCCTCTTATGCCCCCTTGCAGATGCCCCTTGGGCCACTTGTGTGCCCTCTTGTGCCACTACTGTACCCCCTTGCAGACTCTCTTTATGTCCCCTTGCACACCCTTTCCATGCCTTTGCGTACCCTGTTGCACACCCCCTCGTGCCCCCTTGCATGATCCCCGTGCCCCTTTGCACACCCCATTACACCCCCTTGCATGCCCCCATCTTGTCCCCGTGCGTGTCCCCCTGTGCCCCCTCCTCGGGGCCGCCCCGTGCCCCCCTCTCAGCCCTGTGCCCCCCAGACACAGGAGGTGCAGGAGCTGGCGCGGGGGGCACGCAGCCGGGCAGAGGAGGCACTGGGACGCTCGCAGGCTGCCCGCAGCCGTGCGGAGAAGGCGACAGCCCAGCTGCGGGACTTCATCCGACGCATCAAGGCCTTCCTGGCAGGTAGGGGTGGCACGGGGTGGGCACGGGCACGACAGGGGTCAGCGCACCCACCCCAAGCCCACCCCGCTCCTGTGTTCCCACAGAGGAGGGAGCTGACCCGGGCAGCATCGAGCTGGTGGCCCGGCAGGGGCTGGACATCTCCCTGCCCAGCAGCCCCAGCCGGATCCAGGAGCTGCTGCGGGAGATGAGGGAGAGCATCGGCCAGCTGGAGGGAGTGGATGCGGTGCTGAACAGCACGGCGCAGGGGCTGGCCGCGGCACGGGGGCTGCTGGCACAGGGACAGGACGCCAGGTGAGTGGTGGAGGACATGCTGGGGCAGGCAGGGGGGAGAGGTCCATGCCGCAGTGCTGGCAGGGGCTAGAGCTGCCCATGCCACTGCAGGGAGCGAGCAGAGGGTGTGAGGGACGAGCTGGCAGGGACGCAGCGAGCACTGGATGCGGCACGGGTGCAGGCGACGGCAGCGGGGAGCACCCTGCAGAGCGCCAGGGATGCCATCCAGGCGGCTGAGAGCAGAACCAAGGAGGTGAGGGGCACTGGGGCTGCGGGAGAGGGTCCAATGCCCCTGGCACAGCTAGGGAGCGGGGTGATGCTTTGGGCATGCTGGGAACAACAGGGTCGGTGCCGTCAGGGCACTGGGAATAATAGGTTCAGTGCTGTGGGGGCACTGGGAGTAACAGGGTTGGTGCCATGGAGAGCAAGGCTGATCCCATCGGCACACCAAGGGCAGTGGGGCTGTGCCAGGGGGATGTGGATGGTGTGTGGCAGTGCTGTGGGTTTGCCAAGGCCATGGGGCTGGCAACTGGTGCCCATGGCTACCCAGGCGGAGCGCAGGCTGCAGGCACTGGAGGGGAAGGAGTCTCGAGCACAGCGGCGGCTCCAGGAGCTGGCACAGCGCGTCAACACCCTGCAGGAGCAGGGCCAGGATGCCCGACGCACGGCCCAGCAAGCCAAGGACGGGGCAGAGCGTGCCACTGCCGCCTCGGGGACACTCAGCCAGGTAAGCTCCGGCCCTGCTGCCCGGCTGTGGTGCAGCACCAAGGGGGTACAGTGTGCCAGGGGGGGCTCAGCCTCACCATGCCCTTGTGCCACCAGGACCTGGCACAGGTGACGCAGCGCTACGTGGTGCTGAAGGGCCGGGTGAGTGGGCTGGCCGGGGTGTCCGGCGGGGCCCTGCAGCGTGTGACGCAGTTGACAGCAGAGGCCCAGGACCTCCTGGACAAAGCCAGCAGCAGCAAGAGGAAGCTGGAAGGTGAGAGAGAAGCACATGGTGGTCTGCATTCTCTGCCATCCTGACCCCGCTCGGTGCCCACTTCCCCGAGCATGTCTCTCCTTGTCCCCCTGGGCACGTCCCGCCTGGTGCCCAAGGGTGACAGGGGCTGGTGACATGGCGAGGGGCTGCACCCTGACCATTCCCCAACCCCGCAGAGCTGGAGCAGCACTTCGGGGCCAACGAGCGGGTGATGGCGGCGAAGGTGACGCGACTGCAGGCGTTGGAGCAGCGAGTCTGGGGGCTGCTGGAGGAGATCCGGGAGAGAGCCAACGCTTACGCCACCTGCTAGGGACCGACGGCGGGGCCGGGGGCTGGACTGTGGGGGCCGGTCCTACCCCGCAGCCCCCCCTCCCGGTCACCGCAGCCCGGGGGTCCCGTCCCCTCCGCGGGAGCCTGTAGTGTGGCCGCGCTCGCAAATAAAGC